TTTTTTTTAATATGATTTCCATGATTAAAAATATTCTTTAAAATTTTTTTCAAGCTCATCTGTCCCCACTGGGGAAAAACTTCTTGTGAGAATTAGTTTCCTAAGAAGAGGCTATTCTGTATTTAACAGAATTATTTATTGACAACTGGAGGGGGTCTTCTATGGTGTAAACATTAGAAAGGTTTACCTGCCCGTTTGCGGACTTCAGATCCAACACAAAAAGGTTGTCTAATCTCAGAGTGTTTTTCGAGAATTTCATTTAAAACTTAGGGAGGTTATAAGCTATTCTCCATCAGGAGTGATGTTCATGCTACAAATATTTATTGCACATCTATTATGTGCTACAATCCCAGGCCTCAAGAAGACATCACTATATAGCAGAGTGTGGAAATGAATAGCACATTGGCCAGATTCAGCTCGCAAACATTTTGACTCATACCGTATTTATCAAAAATGTGAATTAGTTGCCAACTTTTAAACATCAGAACATTTACAGCTTCTCTTGAAAACTCAAGAAATCGGGCAAAACTGAGCCCACGTTCCTGGCTGATGACAAGTAGAGTAACTACTGCCCACTTCAGACAGGCACCGGCTCTGGGTTCACATGGCCCCCCACCTCTCTGCTTTCCCCTGACTCAGCCTGCCCAGCCCCTCAGCATTTGTCACTGATTCTCAGGATGGGGACTGACAACACATTCACCCTGGGAAATGCCTCAGTCAGAGACAGCAACCCAACCAAGCCCTGCATCTCAGAAGAGCTGATTCTTACCTCCTTATCATCAGGTCACAAAGATTTAATTATTTTGTATCATCTCAATCTTCCAATTTTTAATAAAGTTTCTTTTAGTCCTTGATAATGTAAAGTTAGGGAAGACAATCTGTTTTTATCACTTGCCAAGACAAGGAACTTGCCACAAAAGAAAATGGCAAGGTTGAAACATAGAAGCAAAACGCGAGGACTTTGCAAGAGCAGGATGGGCTCTCAGAAATGCTCTCATTTGCCAGATGAAAAAGCTGAGGTCTACAGGAGGGAAAGGGCCATGCTAGACCCCACTGGTAAACGGGAGGAAAATAGGAAGATTGTCTGGGTAGTCTTTACCCAGCCAGTACCACACTCCTGTCTACAGGCACAGGTGGTTTCTCTGTTCCTGTTTCTACTTACATTTCCAAGGAATGGCAGAGAAGCCCATCAGACCTGAGAAATAAATTTGAGGACTGATTTCAGAGGTCATATGGTACTATCAGGTACATGATTTAAAATGAACCTGCAAAAGATTAATTAGTAATTTTTATCTCGATCTACTGATTCCCTCTATATGGGTCCAAATCATCATATTTGAAAAATGTGTATCTGTCCATCCCAATGGTACATGTTGGAAGAGGCAGCTTGTTTTCATGTTTTCAAATTATGTACTGCCAAAATCCTTCTTGTGTTTGTAGCTAGGAACAGAGTTACACAGTTAATCCTGATATTTGTTGCTAGCAGAAAGTTTTACTAAAACACATAAAATTGCAATAATAAAACACATATAATTTAGTTGCAATTAATACAAAGATAATGATCAAAACCTTCAACTGGACAGATTAAAGTTATTTAAATGGGCCACCGCCTGGGACATAGACATTGTGGTGTGTTTATAATAAGCATAGGTGGCATTTAGTAATATTGTAATCAAGGATCTCTCTTGGTTACAATATTATTGTAGATAAGAAATTTAAGTTAATCCAAAAATTGGTTTTAGATGCAGCAGAAAGGAAAGGGGGAGAAGGTTTGCAGAACAGAGACTGTTTTATTTAGTTCTACCAATCTGGCCTGAGACAGGCTTTCATATCTGCTTTTATAGATGAGGAAAGCGGGGCCAAGAAAGCTGACTTTCTCAGCCAATTTCCAGTTGCTAGGAATGAGCTATCCCCGGGTCACTCTGACTTCAAAACCAGAGGTTTGTCTGCTACCGTATCTCATAGCACAGAAGCCACTAAGATGAGTAATGACCAAAGGAGTTAAGCACACAACACAACTAGGCTACAGAATGCAACAGGCACGATGAAAGAGGCAAAAAAAAAAAAAAAAAAAAGTGTTTGGGGGTCACAACAGGGCAAAAGCACATCGCACATCGAGTGGAGGCTTGGTGGATCAGGGAAGGTTTTTGAGATGTGGTGACATTCTAGAAAGTCCTTGAAAGATGCACTGTGTTACAACAAACAGAGAAGGAGGCGCTAGAAGAAAGGCATAAATACCTGGGCACGGAGGAATGAGAGGTAAGCAGCTTAGATGCGGAATCAATCAAGCAAAGCTATAACATGAAGTCAGCTACATGAAGAAAACAAAACGGATCTCCCCCCAGGGCACGGTCCATCACGTGAGGCCAGGAGACATCATGCCTCTTACAAGGAAAGGCGCCACACATCAGGCCCAGGACACTCGCCTGCGTGTCCACCCCAGGAGAGGCAGTAGGACCCGCTGGACCCCAGGACGCCCAGACACCCACACTTTCTTCGTCGTGCACCCTGTTCCCTCCTCTTCCCCTCAGAAGCCTTCCACCTGCCTGTGCCTTCCATAGCCACAACCAGGCACACTCTGGGTGGCTGAGGGCAACTCACTTCATCTTCCTTTTCCTCTCAGAGAGGGAAGGAAGAGCTTTGTTTCCTTTTCAAGGATCCCCACCAGCAGCAAGGCAGGTGAAAGAAACTGGGGGAAGAGGAAGCAGGACCCCGACCCCCTCCCAGTCTAGCCTTTAGAGACTCCTTTTAAGGAGCAGAAGAGGCTGGGAGAGCCTGCCCTGCCCTGGGGCAGCAGAAACCCGGGCGCCGCTGTAGCAGCTGTGGGCGATCTCCGTCAGCTCCTGGGCTCCAGGATCCTGCGGCCTCAGCCCCTCCGCCTCTGCTCTCGGGGCCACCACCGCCAGTTGGCCTCTCCAGGGCACTTCATTTCATTCCGTCCCTAGCATCCAATAAGACGCGAAAAACTTAATCCCCATTTTACAACTGAAGCCACTGAGGCCCAGAGAGCAAAGCCATTTGTCCTGGGAAAGTGGTCAAGCTGGGACTTTTCTCTTTAGACCACCCAAGGGAAGGTGTGTGTGTGAGGGGCGGGGGAGAGGGCTTGTCTGAGTTCTTAAGAAAACCTGGCGATCCCCTTTTTCCACATCCCGGGACGCTCGTCCCGCACTTTCTCGGGAATGAGGTTTCTGCAGGCGAGGGCGGCGCTGCCTTCTTCCTCGGCGGCAGGGAGACCCCGATGGCGCCCCAGGGTAGGAGGGGAGGCCGAATCATCTGAGAAGAGCGCCAGAGAACTTCAGAGCGTTTCGCCCTTCCCCGGGAGAGGCAAACACCGACACGTCTGTGTCTTTTACCAACAAGTGCCTTCAAGCCCGGCGGGGGCAGACACCTCCGCGCCGGCCGCCGGCTAGGTCTCCGCGGTCTGCGGGGCCACGGCCTCGCCTCAGCTGCGCTGATTTAGGGCGTTATCCGGTCCCGGGGCGGGAGGCGGCCTCCCGGGCGGCGCAGCAGGGCCCGCAGCGTGGGGCGACCGGGCGGTGGGCGGAGGGGGAGGGGCGGAGGGGCGTCCCCGGGGCGCAGGGGGCGGGCGTGCGGGCACACGCGGTGCGCGGCGGGGGCGGCCACCGTGCTGCGCAGCCTGGGCGCCGGGGGAGCCGCCCACTTCGCCGGGTCGGGCCCCGACAGCCGGAGCGTGGATGCGGCGTCGCCCGCCGAGCCGGGGCGGACGCGGGGCGGCCCGGGCCGGGGAGACGCGCCGGGAGCCCCAGCACCGCAGCGGTCGCAGGATGGCCGAGGTAAGCGCGGCGCCCTCCGCGGGCGCGGGGACTCTGCGCGCGGGGCAGGCGGCCCGGGACGCCGCTGGGGTCTGGCTCTTGTGGGTACCCGAGGGCCACCTCCCGAGGGCCGGCTGGCTACCTGCGCGGCAGCGTGGCCCTGAGGCGCGGCGGGAGGGACCGTGGTCTCCGGCCGGGACGGTTGAGAGTCGCTGGGACCCGTCCCCGCCCGACATCCCGGAGCCGGCAAACGGTCTCGGCGCCGGGGCAGCGGGTGCGTCGGAGGTGCCCACGGGCGAGCCTGTGGAAACTGGCGGCGGCACTCTCGGGTCCCCTACACGCCACTCCCCGCCGCCCGCACCCCGGGCTTCAGCCCAGGACGTTGGGACTTGCTGTTTCCCCCTGTGGGGGTCGACCCCCTTTTTTCTTTTTCTTTTACCTCAGAATTTGTGAAACAGCTGATATTTCACACTGGCCGTCTTTCTCCCCGGGGATTATTTCTCTGGAGAACGGGCGCGCGGCAGCCTCCGGTCACTCTGAGGAGCATTGCGGGGACGGGCGGGTGGCCGTGAGGAGGCTCCGGTCCATTGCGGGACAAATCTTTTGTAGAGCAACAACAACAAAACACAAAACAAACTTCAAAAAACCCACAAAAACAAAAAACCCACGACTGAAAATCGCTAGACAGGTCCGGCCCGAAAGCTTCCGGGACGTGGACCGAGCGCTGAGCGTGTGCGGGGCAGATTTGACCAGCTTCACGACGGACCCTGGAGTCCTTGCCGCGGCTCCGCGCGAGGTGGCCCGTCTTTCAGAAAGCGCTGGGACGGGGCTAAGGCGCTTCGGCTCCGGGGTGGAAGCCGGGCCGAGCCGCGTCCGCCGCTCCGAGGTTTCCCTGGAGTGACAGGAAGTCGGCCCGGGCTGCGGAGCCCGCCGCCGCGCCCGCCGCCTCCTTCAGGGGTTTGCCTGGGAAGCGCCGGGACGGGAAGCCCCCGCCCCCAACTTGGAGCTCCCTTAACAGTCCGGCCCAGCCCGGCCTCGGGACCTGCGAGCGCCTCGCTCGCCCATCTCGGGAGCGCCCCGTCGGTTCCGTGCTGGGAGCCGGGCGGCGGCGGGGCTGGGGCTGCGGGCGGAGGAGGAGGCCGCTGCGGGGTCTCCCGCTGCTCCTTCGGAGCCGCCGCCTGGCTTTGCCTGAGCTCCTCAGGATTTGTCAGCCAGATGTGACAAGATTGTGGCCAGGCGAGTGAAGGAGATCTGATATTAATCAGCGCGTAGCTCCGAGCCAAACTTTCTCAAATGCGGTGTAGAAACATGTTCTTCTCATTTAAGGCATCTCTTTGTGGCTGCAGGGCTGCCACCGCTCCGAGCCTGACAGTTAAGTGGAATGCCATCTCCCAGCCTTAATTGTGTGAGTGAAGTTGCGTGCGTTTAGGGGGTGGGGGGATCAGACGCTCGGGGGTTCGGTAAGGTCCCCTGGTTTTATGGCTGTGCTCGCCGCAGCCCTCTGAAGGCCAGGGCATTTAAATCGGCCCAGACGCCTGGTCTCAGCCAGGCCTCTGCTGTTAACACTTAAGGGGTCTAAAAGAGGCCCCACCGGTGTCCTGGGAATCCCTGTCAGAGAGAGAGAGAAAGAGAGTGTGTGTGTGTGTGCGCGCGCGCGCGTGAGAGAGAACATGTGTTGCTGCATAGGACCACAGAGCAGATGTAGCAACAATTTTTTAAAAAATATATTCTTTTCATCAAAGCGACAAGATTGTTGCTTGACAGTGAACTGAAAAACAGCATTTGGCAGATTTTTTTTTTCATTCGCTGTTTATTGTTTTAATTTGCTATTCGATTTTATGGGATCTCTTCATAAGATTCTAAGAGTCTTCGACCCTGAGTTTGCAAATACTTGTTTATGTATTGAAACTTTTGTTCGGTGATAGATACACTGACTCTCTTTTCAATGATCCCTTCCCAAATTCGTTGATACACATTATTAAAACCCTGTTAAAATAGTTTATGTCAAAATAAAATTTTGTACATCCTATAAAAGAACGTTACTTCAGATGTTACAAATTGTACTGGATTTGATTTGCTCTTTAAAGAGGTGTGAAAAGATAGCTTCCCCTTTTGTGATGATGAGTTTTGAGAAATAACTATTCTTTTTGGCATAATCAGATGGTTAAAACGAGTAAGATACGAGTCATCATTTGATTTCTCATCCAGTAAGTTTGCTAACTAATTTCACCAAGAAACTATTACTATTTGAAGTCAACTGTTGGTTGAACATGTTCCTGTTGTAGTTAAATGCTGAGATGAGGTGGTGAAATCTTCACCTAGCACACATGCTGCTCACACTTTGGAAACTTGTAATTATGTTCAGGCGTCTGCATAATTTAATTTAAATATCATCTGTATCTATAGTGTCCCTTCAGACTAGTAAGGATTTAGGGACCTTCTCCTCCTTCAGAAGGTGGTTAAAGTTGTTCTTTGGCCGTTGATATCTACCAAAATGTGAAACAGTGATCTTTTTGCTGTGGTTATAATTCACATTAGAAATATTGACTAACATGAAGTAGTTGCCTTGGAAGCGTGAGATTTACTAGAGGGCTATTCTATTTTTTTACTGCATCTCCCACATGTAGCAGTTAGGCCTGCATCCCAGGCCCATGCCCACTTTCTGTACCTCAAGATCATCAGAGTGGAAAGGTGATCCAACCCGACAGATGAGAGAGAAAAGCCATACAGGTTTCCCTGTGTAACAAAATAATTGTCCCTAAGCACACATTTGTCATTTATGAATGCCTAGGGATAAGTATAAACAGAGGAACATTTTAAAAGTTCAATTTGTCAGTAAAATTAAACTGCAGCTTAAGGAGGGGGGGACAGAAGTGTCTTTTAGCTTCTGTATGTGGCTTTAGAAGTAATTTTGACATGGCCATTAAAAGGGATGCCCTGAAGGTACCACAGGGTAAATTACTTACAGGAGTGTTCTTCACCCCAGGGTGAATTTTCTCTACAGATGTCATTTAGAGTGGGTTACGTTTGTCAGAAACTGTCCTTTTTAGAAAGAACTGAAAATACCCTAGCTAAGGTAAAATCTTGATGAGCCACCTATCTTTTTGGTATCTAAAATGAAGATTTACGGAGTTGGTACTTCTTTTAAAATTACCTAATTACAAGTATTCTGCAGAGTTTTTGTTTCTTTATTTTTGATGACTTCTCTGAGAGATGTTAAAGATAACTGGATTCTGCTCAAAAGAAGCATCTGGAAAGCGTTTCTTTTTCCTTTTAAACTGGTTTCCACCTGAAAACCTTATTTCTGCATATCTTGTCATTCTTTGAAGTCCTTTTCCTAATTCTGGGAATTCCAGGATTCCAATGTGGCACCATTTCTCTGCACAGACACATGCCTATTTTAGCCAAAGAGGGTGGGTATAAACAGAGAACAGACTTGCTTCTCCAGGGTCCAATTTGAGGCTTTCTCCAACCTCACATAGTTAGTTATAGGCAAACAGACTGTCACTCTTGCCGTCCACACATGGACTCATTATTATAAACCAGCCTAACAAATCACAGGAGGACTCTGCCTTGGGGAAATGATAATTTCATTCGACTAATGTGAAACAAAAGAGAGATGGAGAAATAAAATGTGAGGGTCAGGTCCAAACAGCCCTGTCCATAGGGAAATAGTTGCCTTAGGTAAACTAATTCAGGGTTCTAACATTTTTTCATATAGTTAGATTAGTTTGGTTGTCTTCTCTTAGAGATTATTTGTGTGATCCTACCAAATACTCAAACCTCAGTTTTTTTTCTAGCTGTACATCAGCTTCCAGAAGTGTTGTCCTTGTTCTGTAGTTCTCTTATTGTTTCTTGCATTATTCATTATGAAGGTAAAATTTTTATACTGTCAACTCTTAACATTTCATGATACTTCATGCTGAATTTGAAGAAAGTGATCGGGATGACATAATTAACTAAGTTTGATCTTTTCTTTTTAAAAACTTAGTTCCAAAAACCTAGTTCTCGTTAAGTCCCCAAAAGAAATGTTTTACAAAATTTTACTTAGAAATGTTCACGATTTCGTCTTTGTTTTGTATCAGCAGCAGTAGTGAAGTTGCATTGCTCATGTAACTTAAGTAAAATTACGCTAAAATGTAAGTGTTTTGCTCTGTATTTTTTTTTCCCTCAGGCTGATTCAACTATGTTCAGAAAGTTCCCTTTACATGTGATTAATATCTTTTGGTTTTTTGTTACTAAGGGTTTCTAAAGATTACCTGTGAGGTTTCCCAAATTTAGGTTATAAAGGAAAAAATATATCCATATAATTTACATTTCTGTGCAGTTCTTAAATTTTTTTAAAGAAGACATATTTGGCTTGGCTTTTAAGGTAATGTTTGCATGTTTTTCAGCTATTTTATATATTTTCAGTTTTTAAAACTAATAATTTTAAGAAAAAAAGCTCATACATTAAATTATTTTGGCACAGAGTTTATACTTTGATTCATAGACATCAAAAGAACCAGTATTTTCCCCATCACTGTCTTTGAACTAAGCAGCAAGAGAACACTACAGATGTGTCATGCATACTTTAAACTCACAGGTAGACTCAGCCCAGTATCTGTCACTTGAAGGAGCTCTACCTCCCACCTGCCCTTTCTCTGCCAGACCCTTCTCCATGCCCTCAGTCGTCTTTGGTTTCTTATTTCATTCTCATACTTGCAGTGAGAAGTCAGATTTTGTCCATTCTCCTTTAGTGTTGTATTTATATTGCAAATGCTGTCGGGCTCCCCACATCCCCTTTCAAACATGCTTGTGGTAAACAGTGCCTCCCCATTGTTTAAAAAGCTAATGGTCCTATGAACCCAATAAAGAGACTCTTGGCTGCCCATCTGGACAGCCCAGGCCCACCTTATTTTGTCTTTCAAGGTAGGTCTCACTGCCCATAACAGACCTGTGCTCTGTGGCCCAGGCTCCTTGGCCTGACACATATGTACATGGTAAGCTTTACTTGGTACCTAGGCTTGTGGTACTTCCTACATGCACTCACTGATGAGAGTATGCCTTTTTCCTGGAGGAAGCCCTCTCTGGCCTCCCTGTACAACCTTGACTTCTCCATTTCTCCTATCTCACTCAGACTATTTAATTTGGGGGAGAGTAGGAGTTTGACTTATTTTATTTTTTTCACTTTTTATTTTAGAATTATTTCAAACAATCAAAATTAGAATTGCTTAATGAAACTTGGTAATATGTGCTTGGGGATTCAACAGTTACCAACTTTGGGCCAGTCTCATTTCATCTATATTTCCTACCCATTCTCCCCATTGTAACCAACACTGGATTACTTTAAAGCAAATCCTAGGCATTGTATAATTTCATTCATATATATTGTAATATGAAGCTCTAAAATACAACGGCTCTTTTTTAAAAAACCAGAGCAATATACCATAGAGCACCTAAAACATTAACAATAACTGTAATGTCATTTAATTTCCAATTAGTATTCAAATTTCCTTGATTACTTGATAAACTTTATATTACAGTTGGTTTCTTCAAATGAAGATTCAAGTAAGGTCCATACATTGTCTTTTTTAATATATAGGTTCATACTTTACTTTTTTCCTTACAATTTATTTGTTGAAAAAGCTGGATCATTTGTCCTGTAGAGTGCTCCCTGGTCTGAATTTCAATGATTATTTCCTTGTAGTATCATGTAAACATTCCTCTATCTCCTGTATGTTCTTCAGTTGGAGTTGAGTAAGAGGCTTGATCCAATTCAGGTTTGAACTTTTTTGTCGGGAACACCAGATGTGTGGTGGGATGTATCCTTCAGTCCAGAGGCAAATGGCCTGGTTGTCATATTTTTCATTAGGAGTTGTGAAATGGTGATACTCTAGTTCTTCATTTATTTGATTCACATTCAGAGAGAATCTTTGTCTCATCAATGATTTTTTAATCCTGAAATACGGGTTATATAGCAAAGGATACATACTTGATTCTTTTCCTTTGTTTACCAGTTTTCAAAATAGTTAGTTGGTTTCCTAGCATTTTCTAAAGGTGGCCAATGAGTTTTGTTTGTTTTGCATATATTTTGAATTCCTAGATTTTAACACAGTGAATGACTCATGCTAATTTTTGACAAATCATATTCTCTACTCTGCTGTTTTTGACCAACCCAGTTGTGTGACTTTTCTTGCAGTCATGAAAGTCTTCCTAGTGTCAGACACTGGGAGTTACTCATCTTTATATCTCCATGAAGCTCCCTATGGTTACCAAGTACATGGTAGATGCTTTTGAAACAAATAAAAACTTTGTTAAATAAATGATTATCATTTGGTGAAACTATTAATGTAAGATGATGGCATGACGTGTTGAGTGTCTGCCCTATG